GCTTAAAATTTCTCAGTCAGAGGAAGACTGTTGAACTGAAAGAACAGGATCATTTTGCAAGAGGGTCCCTCCCCAATCCAAAACTCAGATGCCTCTTCTCACATGCTTCTACCATATTCCTAAAATTTTTCAAATCTAAAATTTCCACTTTTTCCTTATTCCCTAGCCACCAACTTAGATCAGATTCTCATCACCTCTTGCCTAGATTATTGCAACGGTCTTCTAATTGGTCTCCCTGCTTCAAGTCTCTCTCAACACTGCATGGCTGCCAAAGTGATTTTCCATAAGCTTAGGCCTGATTATATCATTCTCCTATTCAGTAAATTTCAATGGTTGCCTGTTGTCTTTAGTATCAAATATAAACCTCTCTATTTAGCTTTTAAAGTCCTTTATAATCTGGCCTCCCACCTGTTTTTCCAAGCTCAGCGTATCTTACTCCCCCTCCTACACTTTGTGATTCAACCAAACTGACTTCTCTTTGTTCCTTACATTGTTGTTGTTTGTCCTTCCTCGCTCTCTCTTCCTGAGTCACCAAAGTCCAGTGGCAAAACAAAAGTCAAGACGACTGAGATGGCCCGGGATGCAATGTATGACCTTGTAGTCTTTGATGTGCTCTACAATGCTTGCTTCAGAGGCGTTCATGGCTGTTGGAACAAATTGTTCTTATCCACCCATTCTACCTGAGGAAATCTTAGGGGGTAGACATCCCCCTAACTCATGGATGGATTTGAGGCCTGTCAGTTACCATCAACCTGGTTTAGCTGGTCTGCTGAGACAATTTTACCAGGGTGTAGCCACTGCAAATGCTAGTTTCTTGGAGCCACAGGTAAGATAAGAGTGCCAAGTGGACACCAAAGGTGGATGAGCAGCCCTGAAAGGGGCTTGGCAAGCCCTCACACCAGAGGTGCTAGTGCTCCTTGACCATTCCATACACCCCAGTTCCTCATATACAAAGCACTCTATTGCCTATCTCCATTTGCTCTGCTTGTCCACCATGCCTGGAATGCACCCCTTCCCCAATTCTGTATCTTAGAATCCGTCTCTTCTTTCAAAAGATCTCAGAGACTACTTTCTAAATGAAGTTTTTGCTGATTCTCCCAATTACTAAATCCTTCCCTATATAAATTATACTGTATTTAACTTCTTGTTGTTGTTCAGTTGCTTTAGTCATGTCCAACTCTTCTTGACCCCACTTGGGGTTTCTTGCAAAGATACTGGAGTGATTTACCATTTCCTTCATTTTATAGATGAGGAAAGTGAGGCAAATAGGTTAAGTAACCTGTCCAGGGTCACACAGCTAGGAAGTGTCTGAGGCCAGATTTGAACTGAGAAAGATGAGCCTTCCTGACTCTAGGCCTGGCACTCTGTGCACTATGGCGCCACCTAGCTGCCCCAGAAGTGCTTTAATAAGTGTTAAATAAATGCTTTTTCATTGATTAATTCATAGTCCAGTTAAGTGATGATGAGGGACTGAACTATCTCCATACTATTCTGTCACATTACTATACTACAATTTGTTTAGGCATTCACCCAACTGACAGAAACCCAATTTCCTCTGAAGTTTGTTCTTTGCTACCACAAAAAGTACTACTACAAATATTTTTGTATGTATGGGAACTTTTCTTCTACCTTGGACCTCATTGGTGCTTTATGCCTCATAGTAATATTTCTAGTATAATTCTAAATTATTTTTCTGCATGATTGGATCTATTCACAGCTGTACTAACATTTGTGTTTCAGACTAATTTTCAAGGTATCTCCATCCAATCCAATGACCTTACCTGATTTCCTGGAAGCCCATCAATCAGTCTTCAGCATACATTTATTAAGAAGCTACCAAAATGGGGTCACAGTCAGACATGACTGAAATGACTCAGCAACAACAACGAGGATGACAGCAAAGCACTTCTAGTTGCCAGGCACTGAGGATGTTGTTGTTCTTCAGTTGTTTCAATCATTTCCGACTCTTTGTGACCTCATTTGGGTTTTCTTGGCAAAGAATAGAGTGGTTTGCCATTTCCTTCTCCAGTTCATTTTACAGATGAGGAACTGAGGCAAACAGGGTGAAGTGACTTGCTCAGGATCACATAGCTAGTGTCTGAGACAGATTTGAGCTCAGGAAAATGAGTCTTCTTAACTCCAGGCCTAGCACTCTACCCACTGTGCCATCTAGCTGCCTCTAATCACTGAGAATACAAATAACAAAAAAGAAAATATAGTCTCTGACCTTAAAGAAATTATATTTTAATGGGGAGGGGGAATAGGAGAACAATAGCCTGGGGGAAGACACATTGGTTCATGCATCTGAAAGTAACTGGGATGGTAAGTATGGCCACTGGAGAGTAGATTGATATACCCTATCTAGGAACAAGGGCAGAGTTTATTTGATCACGGTTGATCATTCTAAACTAAAGAGAATAGAAAGCAAGAGGGCTCCTCCAAGCTGGGGAAGGGGGAAACAGGGCAGAAGTTCCTCCAGGGTATGGTCTCTGGTACTGGATTTGGCAGTCAGGATATTGGTGAGGGGGCTGCAATAACCTAATTGATCATCTTGTCTCTCCCCTCCACAATATCCTCTCCATGAGACTGCTAGGCTGTTATTCCCAAAGCACACAGGTCTGGCCATGTCTCCCCTGTTTAAGAAACCCTGGTAGCTCCCTCTTTCCATAGGATCAAATACAAACTCTTCCATTTGACTTTAAAAGCTCTTATCAATCTGGCACCTCCCAGGCTTATTACATATTATTCTCCTTTATGAACTCAACGTTCCAACTAAGATGTCCATGCTGCTTGTTATTTCCCATACTTCCATTTTATCTCCCATTGTGCCTCTGCACATTCCAAGAATACACTCTCTTCTCAACCCCACCCCTTAGAATCCTTAGTTTCCTTTAAAGCATAGTTCAATTGCTATCTCCTATGGGAAGCCTCTCCTATTCTCACCCCCACACCTCAGTTGCTAGTACCTTGCCTCCTAAAAAAAGACTTTGTATATATATTTAACTTTTATGGACATATTTTTCCATGTAGAATGTAAGCCTCTTGGGTAGAGATTATTTCAGTTTTTTTCTTTGTTTCTCCAGCACCTAAACACAATGCCTGGCATATAGTCGGTGCTTAATAAATGTGTGTTAACCTGAATTGAAATGGAAGCACCCTGGTCAAAGTCCTGGTCACTCTGCCCTGGTTTTGGCTCTGGTAGGGGTCATGTGAATGGAGGGAAGGGAGAAGGATTGGAGAGGTGTTATTGCTAGAGATATAAACTGCAGCTTAAAAGGAATCTTGATCTGGCTGTTAAATGGTAAGCCCTACTTTGACCACTAGGTGCTTCGGCTGAATACAACTTCTGAGGACATTCATGGCAATTAGGTCTCTCTGTGGCTAGACTAGTACTAGGTAGCATTGCCAAGTCAAATCCAGAGGAGAGAAGAGAACTAAAACCCAAAAATGTTTTTGTCCCCCCAGGTTGGGAAATGAGCTCTTAGCTTAGAGCTTAGCACTGAGTAAACACTTAATAATTCTTTTCATTTAGTCATTCCTATTAGAATTACTAAAGAGGGAGGGGCAGGGCAAAGAGTAACAAGATTACTGATTTCTATTCCTAGCACCTTTCTATGAATTCCTTCCCCACTGAATTTCGCTTCCACCCAGTGGATAGAATGCTACACCTGGAGTCAGGAAAGCCTGAGTTCAAATACAACCTCAGACACATCCTAACTGTGCCACCCTGGACAAGTTACTTCACCTGTTTGCCTCAGTTTCCTCTGAGTAAAACGGGAATAATAAAAATACCCACCTCCCAGGATTGTGAGGATCAAATGAGATGTTTGTAAAGCCTTACCACAGTATATGGACAGCTAGGTGGTGCATTGGATAGGGCGGCAGGCTTGGAATCAGGAAAACTCATCTTCCCGAGTTCAAATTCAGACACTTATTAGCTGTGTGACCTTGGGCAAGTCATTTCATCCTGTTTGCCTTAGTTTCCTCATCTGTAAAATGAGCTAGAGGAGGAAACGGCAAACCACTCAAGTATCTCTGCCAAGAAAACCCCAAATGGGGTCACAAAGAATGGGACAGGAATGAAACAGCACTATGTAAGTACTATTATTATTATTATTATTATTATTACTATTCCACCCAGATTGATAAGGAGAATATAGTCCTCTGTCAGGAGTGATCAGAACTGGTTGGGAAGGACCACAGAGATGGTACTACCATAACCTACAGACTTCTTGTATAATGGATCCAGGACATCCCCATTATAAAATACAGGAGAACAGCACAGATTTCTAAGCAATCTTCAACTATTTTTTTCCCCAAAGAGCTTTCATGGTATATAGATTTTGCTGCCTCTCTGCTTGATCTCTGATGATAAAATGAAGTAACAAAGGGCGGGGAAAGTAGAAACTTTCCATCTGTTATTGCTTTTTATGTAGCAAAGGATACTTTGGTCCTGATTTCTCCACTGGGTTTTTGATGAGGAGACTCCTGCAGATACTGGGGAGCTGTTCCTATCCCTGAACACTTTTTTCTATTGACCTGTTCTCTCTCCTGGGCTGGGTTATGGCCGCCCTCTAGTGCCCATTCTTCAGCTACCCATTTTGTGGGGGGGATGTTCGGGCTCTTCAGCCACCCGTGGAGCCAGTTTGGACTCCGAAGCGCTTTAGGAGCCCTGGCAAGGGCGAAGAGGATCTAAGTAGCGCCCACGTGCAGAAGAAAGATCCATGCCCAGCCTCAGAGACAAAGTCCGGGCTGGGACTGGGGTGGACTCAGGGTCAGGAACCTCTCTGGTGCCTTGGAACCCGATTTTGCTAACTTACCACTTAAGTGAACTTGAACAAGTTCCTTCCCCCTCTCTCGACCTTAGTGTCCTCCTCTGTTAAAATGGGAGTACGACTTGCTCATCTCTAAATTCCCCTTCCCCCTAAATCTAGGACCCAGGAGCACGCAGTCTCTCTAGAAGGAGCCGCTAGGGGGCAGCGGAGAGCGCTCGGCTTTGCCTTTAAGGTAGTGAAGGAGGGGGAAGGGTTTGCGTCCTCCAGTGAGAAATCAGAACTCTCCCTCCTCCCTCCGCTTCCCAGCCTCTCCTTTAAGACGTCGGTGACATAGGCGAGTGGCGGCCGTTTCGAATCCAGGCCTCAGGAATTGCGCTTCTCCAGCTGCCCGCTAGCTTCAGATTCCCGGTCCGGGAGCCCTTCACTGCAGCCGTAGGAGCTCCGGCTTTAGCCAGACTGTTTTGCCCGGAGCCCGGGCCTACCTGTTCCCGTCACCCGCCGCGACGGGCCCGGGCCTAGGCCCGAGCTCGAGTCCATGGCGGAGGATGAAAGGGAGCCCACCAGCCGTCGCCACGGTAATCCCTAATGGCCGCCGGGTCTTTCATCTTTCCTCCTCCCTCCCCCATCCCACGTGGTAAATTAACTGGCGCGCGGCCTTCCCGCCCCTCCCCCAGCCCTCCTGGCGCGTTCGAGGCGCTCCCCTCCTTGGTCCCGCTCCCAGAGGAGCTGGTGCTGCCGGGGGGGGGGGGGGCGGGGGGGGAGCCTCCTCCTCCCTCCCTCCCCCCCTGCCCCCGCTCGCACACCTGAGCCACGCCCTTTGATGTTTCCTGTGGGGAGTTCCCCCCCACCCCAGTCCACCTCGGGGCTAGGACACTTCCTTTCTCCAGACTCAGGCACTTTGACCTTGCGTAGAGAGAAAGATACTCTCTTCAGTACCCCAGATTATGTAAATCTATTTCAGTTCCATCCGATAAACATGAATTAAAGGCCTAGGGGGAAAGCCTTACATTTCAATCTCCTCTGGCCCCAGAGAGGGCTGTGGTTGCTAGAGCCTTGGAAAGTGGGTATTTCCTGAGCCCCAAGGCTGAGACTCAATTCCTGTACTGATTCCCCACTCCCCTCACCCCCCATCCCTTTTTATGCTGACTCTGAGGCCTGGCCTGAGGAATACTGCAGTAAAAATGACTCTTGTTCACAGCTTTGACTTTGGGGTGACCCGAACCCGGTTCAATAACCTCCCCTTTGCAACCTCTGGCAAAATGATGCAGGGTAAACTATATCATGGGGAGGAAGGCTTCTGAGTCTTGGAAAAAATCCTGCCTCCTGCCCTTCTCTGATGTTCCCCTTCCTCCTAAAGTTCCAGCAAAAAACAAAACAACAAAATTTTTTTTTTAAATACCATAGTCCTGACAGTTTTGTTAGGTCATTAGAAGTGGGAACAGAAAGGATGAGGACAGAATGTACTTGTAAATAGTAACTTTCTCACTCACAAACTTCTTCTCTCCCTCTACCCTGCCCCACTTCCCCCAATCACTTTATTTTCCTTTCAGGCTTGTAGTTTGCAGAACCTATTTGCTGTGGAAGATGAATTTGAAGATGAGGTGAGGAAGCATTTGTGATCTGAGATGAGAGATGTTCTCACTTAGGCTGTAAACATCTTGGCCTAGAACATATCCACCTGACTCCAGTCCCTTCGGTTGACTTTTTTGGTAGATTTTTCTCAGGCTTTGAGAGACTGGAAAATGGAGAAAAAGCTAAACACATAGTTATGTGTCTTGGAAAAAAAGCCCCTCAGAAGGTGGTTTACTACTTTAAATTTAAGAATGACATTTCATTTAAGAATATCCTTATGATATACTTGAGATAGGGGATTTAAGGGGATATAAGCATTTTGAAAGGCAGCATGATATGATTTCTACCACAAATCTCATGAGCTCTGGAGTTCCAAAGTGCAGTGGGCCAAGCCAATGTCTGTACTAAATTTGGTATCAATATTAGGAACCCCCCAGGAGGGATTGGGGTGGGATTAGAGGGTATCAGGCTGCCAATAAAGGAGCAAACCTGTTCAGGTTGGAAACAGAATAGGTCCTTTGTTAATCAATAGTGGAATCTGGCCTTTGTACTTCCAGCCTGGGCAAGATAGGGAGATCCAGTCTTTTTTGAGAGGCCGGAAAGGGAGGGAGGGAAGGAAGGGGAGATGGAGGGAAAGAGGAGGAAAACAGAGAGAGAAGGAGAAGGAAAGGAGGGGGGGAGAGAAAAAAGTCAAAAGACCTGGTTTCTAGTCCTGGCTGTGCTATTAAATAACTGTCCTATCATGGGCAAACTACCTAAACCTCTCTGGACCTGTTTTTTTATCTGTAAATGGACTATATGATTTCTAACTCTTCCAGCTTTCAAATTCTAAAAGTGGAGCTTGTGAAAACAGGAGAAATTAACTTCCTTCTTAAACTCATGTAATGATTTAGGTAGAGCGTAGGACTGGGATCCAAATCTTTTGATTCTGAGGCCAAGACATTTAACCATTTTCATCTTCATTTTCTTGGTACTGAACTGTGAATTCATCCCTGTAGAGAACTTGTGTGAAAACTTATATCCAATCCAGGCCAACAATTCAGCTATAAATTAGAGCTTCATGAGGCACTCAGAGGTTAAGTGACTTGTCCAAGGTCATACAACAGAGTAACAGGCATTTATTGAGCATTTACTAGGTGCCAGGCACTGTGCTAGTATATACACACAGCCAGGATATATCAGACTGGACTCTTCTAACTCCAAAACCAGGCCTCTGTCTGATATACTAGGCTGCTTCAGTCATGACCCATATTCTGCTAATATAAATATTCTCTTTCTTCAAGGAATGGACAATGGTCTCATGCATCAACTGTTGTCCTCATAGTCCTAAATGTAATATATGCTTCCCTCCCCCCTTCATCATCATCAAAATGGTTTTGTGCATAATTTCGCATGGCACCATGATAGCTTTTGTATGAGGAAAACTATGTAAAATCACACCCTACTCACTAGGCTACGCTAAAAGTTTATATGATTCTCCTCTTTGAGGAGGTGGAAATGGAGTCACAGAGACAGTAGGGGCTTATTTCATTCGGTCAGTCAGTAAGCATTTATTGGGTACTTAGGTCAGCTCCTTCAAAACTGATGTCTTTGGGTTGCTTCATGGTATGGGAACTCCAAGTCTCTTGTTTTCTCAACTATGAAATTCAGAATTGTCAGGTTTTCTTGAACAGAAGGTTTGCTCTTGACTTGTCTCTCAGCTTTGGAGAAGTGTGATCACAGGCTAAAAAAAAAAGACTGTTGAAATAACCCCTTTTTAGTCTTGCCAGGTGACAGCAGAATCTTCCAGTTGCAAATTGGGAACGGCCCTATGGCCTCAAGATTGGATTGGGGGGAAGTGGAGTCTATGTTTGAGGATTCATGTTTCTGCATCCATGAAAATGGGAAGATAGTCTTTCCCCCAACCCCCGTAAATGACCTCATGCCTTGGAAGGCAGGGGATCCATAAACATTGGGCATGATAATAGTTGTTCTTTTATGATTGTTAGTTCTAACCCCTAACCTAATCCCTTCTGGGGTTTACCGACTGTTGTGATGACAGGCAAGGCAGAAGAACATCCTCTTCTGGACCTCCTAGCCAGATTCCTGCTGATTAAAGTCAGCGGTTCTGATTGATTCTAGGGAACAGATCTTTTGAGCTTGAAAGTGCCAGCTTTGCCTTGTTTACCAGCTAGGAGCTTCACTTGATTTAACCTGCTAGAAAAAGTAGCTAACTTTTCTACATTTTGGTGGATATAGGACTTTTCCAAAGTTGCCCAGGACTGTATGTACTTGTGTGAAGCTGGTGAGGTCCACATTGTCAGTAGGAGGATAGACCATGAGGAGGGAACTGGGAACCAGAGATCTGTTCCCAGCTTTGTCGATGGGAATGCTCTATGGCCTTGGACATTCACTTCTGGGCCCTTGTTCTTTTAGTCCCCTAGTTGCTTCCCAATAACAACGATAATAAGATGACATTTCTAAGGTACTTTGAGATTCTTGGATAAGGACTAGATTGCTATGAAACCATGTGGCCCCTTGTTTCAGGCTACGTTGACTCAGTTCAGTGATTGTTAAATTTCATTGAGATTTCCATCCAAATCAGTTGTTACTCTTTCCATATTAACATCATGCATTGAAAAGAGCATAAAATTCAGTCCAGGATGGTATAGGATTAGGCCTCAAAGGTCAAAGTGAGAGGAGGTAAGAACACTTACTTTCTTATATCTTCTTTTCTGTCTCTATTAGTACATGTATCTAGAAGAATTCGTGAAAGAAGACTTATCTTTTTAATTTTGCCAATTGTCCTAGATGCTAAAACCTGATTCCTCTGGTCTTATTGGCAGGATTTCTTGTCAGCTGTAGTGGACACTGAAAACAAGTTCTCCAGTTCGTTCTCTGTAAATCCAGGATGCCTGCAACCTATGTGTTCCGAGCCCAAAGCTGCCAAACAGGCATTGACATCTGGGCAGATGACTTCCAGCTGCACTCTTCCTTCAGGGGCTTCAAGCTTGTCAGCCCAGGGTCTCAGACTCCCTTCCCCTAGCATGCCCAGGGTAGGAGGAGATTCTCTTTCTAAGGCATCAACATTCCTAAGGCTGTCCCCTTCTCCCAGCTTAGCTGGGGGAGGTAGAGCTCCAGGCAGAGTGACTCCAGAAGGAGTAACCACAGAACCTCATATACCTTTCTCTCTTGTGAACCAATACCCACTGGCTGGTACCACTGTGATAAGTAAAAAGGATGAGTTCAGTAGGCTATCATATGTGGAGCTGAGGCAGGGAGATTCAAGTGGGCCTGTGAAAAGCCTGTTTCCTAGGCAGAAGGAAGACCCTGTGCAAGTCAAAAGGCCCCGAATGACAGAGCTGGGAGAATCTTGTTGCCAAGGGTCAGTAGTCACCAGACTGGCTGAGCCCCTACTCTTAGGCTCTATCACCCACCATGGGACCCCACAGCTCATTATGAAACCTGGAGCTTCCAGCAGCCTTACTTTCCCATCTGGCTTACAAACTCCCAGTCAACTCACCCCCTGGCAAGCTGGTCCTAGGGGCAGTCATCTCCATGTGCCTCAGCCTCTCCAAACTGCTAAATGTCATGCTCAGTACAGTTCTCAAAATAGTCCTGTAATGCCTCAGCCATTCCGATCTCCACATTCCTGGGAAAGTGGGAAACCTAGAGTTCTGGGGCAAGTTCCCAACCCAAACTCTTCCATTTTCCCAGTGGCTAGCTCTGTCCAGAGACCCTTAGAGTCCCGAGCTCGGCTCTCTTCTGCTGAGCCTCTTGTCTTTACCCCACCCACCCCCTCTTCTTCCCTGGCGGCCTCAGGGATTCTTCAGACCCCTATAGTCACAAATCACCTTGTACAGCTGGTTACTGCTACCAGTCGTACACCTGGGATGCCTGCCCATATGCCCACTCGGGCTAAAACCCGCCGCTTTCCTGGACCAGCTGGCATTTTGCCTCAACAGGTAAGTGATATTCAGGAAACAGACTGGAATTTTCAAGAAGTTTAAGAGGATAGAGAGGTTCTGCAACAACATGTCTTGGCAACATTTGATCTGATTGGTCAAGAAGTAGCATCCCTCCCACTGGAGAAAAAGAAAGGGACAAAAATGGTGCTTCCAATGCAAAGGGACAAAAGGAGGTAGAAAAATGCTGCCATTCTCTTGATCTTCCTAGCAGAAGAGTTACAAGTTACAGTACAAGATACAAGTTAGCAGTAAGGAAGAAGGGAGTTATATCTGTAAGGACTTGACAGTCACACCAGGTTTAGGATCCTGGGTCAGTGAATATGCTGTGGGCTGACCTAGGGGCAGCAGAGACCCCTGCTAGGAGAATTTGATTCCCAAACAACATTGACCAACTCTTCAGTTACCTTGCATTGTGAGGAATGTCTGAGTAGACCTCACTTGCTGATGGGGGTGAGAGTGGGAGTGGATTCGAAAAGGAATTTAAGGCTATAGTCCACTGAAATGTTTAATTGGGAGCTAGTGGCTTCTTTTTTGTCCTGGACCACACTAGGGGAACATCTTTAATTTTAAGGATAACCAGCTGGCCTGAAGAATGGGAAGCTGTAGTACTATTCTGTTCTGGTGGGGGAGGGTCTATAGGTTAGCTGGCCCTAACGAGTAGCCTCTTTAACCCTCTGGGCCAGTTGGAACTTCTTCATGTTCCTCCAAAGACCCCCAGAGGCATATTTTTTTAAGCCTGTTAGTGAGGCTCCTGAGACGTGGAAAAATGTAATGTGTTAATTGTCCTTATAGTTTCCCTGAACACATTATGTAACCCAGACGCAAAGCTGTACTAGTAAATAACAGCTGCTAAGTTTGTTCTCATTCAAACTGCATTCTCCTTCCTTTTAGCACAGTGGAAAAAATCTGGAGGAGATCATGATTTCAACTCCACAGATTCCAACTCATGGTGCACTAGCTAAGTTCCAGAAAGAGGTAACTTGCTCAGTGACTATTATCCCTTTACCCAAATCAGAACTGTGTATCATCATTCAATGGCATGAGCTCTCTATTTTTCATCTGTCATAGTAAATAATAATCTAAGCTCAACGCATTCATGAGATGGTTTGGGACCTTACTCAGCCTTATAGAGCTAAAGCTAGAGGGATGGACGCTGAGAGTAGAGCTAGGTAAGAAAAGGAGCATGTGTCATTTCAGTTTTCAGCTGATAAATGTCTTTGGGAGCTGAATCCCTGTTGTACCCAAAGCTTCTTCTGGGCAGATCTACACCAAAGATTTAAAAACTTTGCTTTTCTAAAATCAAGACCCTCTAAGAGGATCTCACAGCATTTTCTTGAACTGTTAGTGAAAGTACTTCATCTCTAAACTTTTGCATGAATAGGAAGAGATGGAGATCGTGTTTTGTCCAGGAAAGAGATCTCCCATTTCTGCCACCCATTTCTAAGCCAAAGAAACTTTAGTGGGATGGAAACTCATTCACCCAGGTTCCACTTCCTACCCTTGCTCCAGGAGGTACCCAGTTCCCAGTCCCCAGAGGAAGATTTTGAGCATGGCCCCTGGCTGACTATGAAAGCTGAACTGGGACTAGATGACCAAGACCCTTCCTGCTTCCTCCACACATACAGTATCGTCATGGTATTGCGGAAGGTAAGAGGACGGCTGTTTCATCTCACCCCTTCTTCCCCCATGGTGGGAAAGGCATCTCTCTGCTTTCCCCAAACCCATCCCTGAACCAATGGCTCCGTCCCCCCATATATATCCTTGACCAGGAAGGGCCTAGTTGTTGCCCATCTCTGGGATATCTGTAGGCCCCAGAGTGGGTTCAGTGGGACATTAGGAGCAGGTTGCTTTTCAGGGGTGGTGCTAGCAAAGTACCTTGCTTTGTATAGGGTACGTTTGGTAGTCCACTTATATGTGTCATCATGTATTGCGGTGTTAAGGTGCCTTCTAATAGAATAAATATGTAAATATTGAAAGAAGATAGAAAACAAGCAGAAGCCTCCACAGCCTCCAGGCAGTGTGGAGAGGCAGAATTGAGTGCTCCTTCTAGGTTATCCTTAGGACAGAAAGTGATTTCACTTGGGTTGGCATAAATGGCACCTCTAACCAGTAGATTTCTGCTCCCCATATATCCCACCTCACCAGAAGCCTCCCATGATCTCTTCTGCTACTTTTAAATAGGCTGCCCTGAAACAGCTTCCCAGGAACAAAGTACCCACCATGGCGGTGATGATCAAGTCCCTGAGCCGAAGTACAGTAGATGCCAGTGTGGTGTTCAAAGACCCTACAGGTGAGGAGCAGGGCCTTGGAGCCTAGGTGGTCTGGGGCAAGGCAGGGTAGGCACTTCCATGACCTCAGAGTCCACAGCAACATGTGATCCTTAGTCCTTTAGAGATGTACTAGAATCTTGGAAGCCAGGAGTTGGAAGGGACTGTGGAAGCCAGTGATCTGGATAGCATATCCGGCCAGTTTATGCTTTACTTGGAACACTTGTTGCAACAAGGAACTTACTGCATCACAAGGTTACATTGCCCATTAATTCCTAATTTCCAGAACATTATTCCTCCATGTTGAACCAGGCTGCCTGCCTGTCTGTAGCTTCCACTCACTCGTTCATATTCTCTGCTACACAGAATCCAGTCTTTCCTCTAGATACATATCTGAAGGTTGTTTTTATGTTCTCCCTTCTACCTCCAGCACCAAATGCTCCTTTTCTCCAAGTGAAACATTCCGTGGTACAGTAGAAAGAGCCCTGGCTCTGGAGACAGGCCCTGGGTTCACTGCCCACCCCTGACACTACCTTCTTCACCTTAAACAGATCATTTACCCTCTTGTACCTCATGTCCTCATCCATAAAATGAGGGTGTTGGACAAAATGGACTCTAATTCCCCACTTGGCCCTATATTGATGATACTCCTCGAAGGGAACTGTGGTCTCATCAGTATAGGTACTCCTTCTAAAGGTGCAAATCACAAACCATAATACTTTCTTATCCTGTGCAACTTTTGTCCATGTCCTCCTAGAAATCTTCCTTAGGAGATTTATACAGTGTGCCTTGCAAGAGTCTTCGAAGTATCTTAACATTACATAGGCACCAGTGTGGCATGAGGGATGTCTATTGTCCCTTGCTTATATTATTTGAGCAACTTGATTCCTTTTTCTTTCATAATGTTATAATTCCCAGGTTTGCAGATTTATTTTTCGTTGACCATATTTTCGTTTGACTACTTGTTGTTAACATAATGGGAGGTACCTTTCATCTCCAATTTGATTTCTTGTACAGTCTATAATGATATCTTTTCATTTGCTTTTCTTTTTTCTTTTTTTTTTTGCATGCATGCCTGCATGCATTTCATCTTAGGTGAGTTGATGCAGCCTATTTATGCCTACCATGAATCTTCTGTTGCCTGTTGGATGGCTTGCAATTTATTCCTTGGAGATAATGGTATTTTTACAATTCATAGCTACATATGATGATGCTATCATCACCATAAAAATGTTTGTGTTAAGAATATGGTTGGTTTTTTTTTAAGATAGGTTATTTTAGAGGAGAGCTTAGGCTCATTTAAAACACTAATTAGGTCCTCTCTCTATACCTCCTATTCAGTTCTAGGTCCCATTCGTTGTTCATCTGCAGTGTCTGTCTGATGTATGTATACTGATGGATGACAAGCTATCCATCCAGCTGCAGATTGTAAACTAGACAGTAGGCAGTCTTCATCCACTTGATTTTTCCTCTGTGGTTGGTTATGCTGAACTCTTGGCATGGATTTTAATTTCATTTAGAAGGTTCTTCAGTGTTCTGTGAATTGAAACAGCATGGGACATACCTTGTTGGAAGAGTCTTTAAGATAGTATTTTGTTCTACCAAATCAGATTTCTTTTGTAGTCATCAAACAGTGCTATGGGATTTTCTGTTCTTTGCTCCTTTAAGTCAATTTTGTGAATGTAAAGATATGGTCTGTTATAGAATGCTGTTTGTAAAAGCTTGTCAATTTTCTTCCTATATTTCCTTCAGGAATGTCCTTGATACATGTATATATTCTTCTCACAGAGATTTTGTAGAGATGAGAAAATAGGCATGTGGGTATTCATGAATGAATGAAAAAGCATTTAAGTGCTTACTAAGTGTCAGGCACGCTAAGCACTGGCAATACAAATTAAAAAAAAAAACAAACCCAGGACATTCCCTATCTTTAAGGAGTTTATATTCTTACAGTATAAGAAAACACATAGAGGGCCAAGGAGGAGTGTTTTAGTCCAGTCATAGGGCATCAGTTGATATACCCTTTCCAGGAATCTGATTACTACTCACTGAGTAAGAAGTGGGCATTGTGAGGGTGTGAGTGCAGCAATGTGATAGAAAGCTGGCCTGCTGGGGCTCAGTGTGATGGTCTGGGGCTAACGTGGGAAATCTGGAAAAACTGTTTATATATCTTGATCATTTATCAATTAGGGAATGGCTCCTGGGAACCAGGTTAGAAGTGGAAGGTGGATCAGTGGTTGCTGCTTGGCAGGATGAGAATAAATAGTTACTGATATTTTCTCAATTACCTTTTCTTCATAGTGAAAAGAATTCATTATAAAATTCTTTTTTAAAAAATTTATTTAGTATTTTATTTTTCTCTAGTTACATGTAAAAACAGTTTTTAACATTTGTTTTTAAAACTTTGAGTTCCAAATTCTCTGCCTTCCTCCCTCCCAACCCCCCTCATTGAGAAGGCAAGCAATTCAATATAGGTTATACGTGTGTAGTCATGCAAAACATTTCCATATTAGTCATGTTGTGAAAGAAAACATAGACAAAAAAAACTCAAGAAAAATAAAGCAAAAAAGTATACTTCAGTCTGTATTCAGATACCGTCAGTTCTTTGTCTGGGATTGGCTAACATTTTTCATCATAAGTCCTTTAGAGTTGTTTTGGATCATTATATCGCTAAGAATAGCTGAGCCATTCACAGATGATCATCTTACAATATTATTGTTACTTTGTACATAGTACATTTCACTTTGCATAAGCTCATGTAAATCTTTACAGGTTTTTCTCAGAGCATTCTGCTCATCATTTCTTATAGCACAATAGTATTCCATCACAATCACACAGCGCAGTTTGTTCATCCATTCCCCAACTGATAGACATCCTCCCAATTTCCAACCCCCTACCACCAGAAGAGAGCTGCTGTAAATATTTCTGTACATATGAGTCCATTTCCCTTTTGTTTTTTATCTCTTTTGGATACAGACCTAGTAGTAGCACTGTTAGGTCAAAGGTTTTGTAGCTCTTTGGGCATAGTTTCAGATTGCTCTGAAGAATGGATGAATCAGTTTACCACTCCACCAACAATGCATTAATGTTTCATTTTTCCCACATCCCCTCCAACGTTTGTCATTCTCCTTTTCTGTACTGTTAGCCAATCTAATAGGTATGAGGTAGTACCTCAGACCTGCTCAGTTTGCATTCCTCCAATCAATAGTGATTTAGAGCACCTTTTCATATGGCTGTAGATAGCTTTGGTTGCTTTATCTGAAAACTGTTTATATATCTTGATCATTTATCAATTAGGGAATGGCTCCTATTTTTATAAATTTGACTCAGTTCTCTATGTCTTTGAGAAATGAGTCCTTTATCAGAGAAGCTTGCTTCAATTGTTTTTTACTGTTATGATTGCTAAATGTTATTTCCCTCCATCCTATTTGCCTACCTCCACCACATTTATTCTATTTTTTCTTTTCTTTCACACTGTCCCTCCTCAAAAGTGTTCTACTTCTGACTACTGCCTGCCCCAATCTGCCCTCCCTTTTATCATCCCCCTTCCCCAATCTTTTTCCCCTCTTACTTTCCTGTGGGGTAAGATAGATTTCTATACCCAGTTGAGGGTGTTTGTTATTCCCTCTTTGAGCCAATTCTGATGAAAGTTCATTCATTCCCCCCACTATAAAAACTTTTTCTTGCTTCTTTTATGTGAGATAATCTACCCCATTCTACTTTTCTCTTTCCCTTTCTCCCAATACATTCCTCTTTCTCACCCTTTAATTTTATTTTTTTAGATATCATTCCTTCATATTCAACTCACACCTGTGCCCTCTGTCTGTATATACTCATAACTGCACTAATATTGAGGAAGTTTTTATGAGTTACAAGTATCATCTTCCCATGTAGCATGTGAACAGTTTAACCTTAAGTCACTTATGACTTCCTTTTCCTATTTACCTTTTTATGTTTCTTTTGAGTCTTGTATTTGAAAGTCAGATTTTCTATTTAGCTCTAGTCTTCTCATCAAGAATGCTTGAAAGTCCTTCAATGTCCATTTTTCCCTCTGAAGGATTATACTTAGTTTTGCTGGGTAGGTGATTCTTCTTTTGCCCTCTTGAGCATCATATTCTAAGCCCTCCAGTCCTTTAATGTAGAAGCTGCTCAATCTTGTGTTATTCTGACTGTGGCTCTATAATACTTGAATTGTTTCTTTCTGGTCGATTGCAATATTCTTTCCTTGGCCTGGGAGCTCTGCAATTTGGCTATCATATTCCTGGGAGTTTTCATTTTGGGATCTCTTTCAGGAGGTGATTAGTGGATTCTTTCAATTTCTATTTTACCCTCTGATTCTAGAATATCAGGGCAGTTTTCCTTTATAATTTCTTGAAAGGTGATGTCTGGGCTCATTTTTGATCATGGCTTTCATGTAGTCCAATAATTTCTTTTTTTTTTTTTTTTTTTTGCAAGGCAGTTGGGGTTAAGTGACTTGCCCAGGGTCACACAGCTAGTATAGTCCAATACTTTTTAAATGATCTCTACTGATTCTATTTTCCAGGTCAGTTCTTTTTCCAAGAGATATTTCACATTGTCTTCTATATTTTCATTCTTTTGGTTTTGTTTTTATTGTTTCTTGATTTCTCATGAAGTCATTAGCTTCCATTTGCTCACTTCTAATTTTTAAGGAATTATTTTCTTCAGTGAGCTTTTTTTTAACCTCCTTTTCCATTTGTCTAGTTCTACTTTTTAAGGAGTTTTTTTCTTCAGTGAACTTTTGTGCCTCTTTTTCTATTTTTGGCCAATTCTGCTTTTCATGTTGTTGTTCTCTTCATTGGCCCATTTTTATCATTTGGCCTAGTCTGTTTTTTTTAAGATGTTATTTTCCTCAGTATTTTTTTGTTTCCTTTACCAGACTGTTAAATCTTTTTTAATGATTTTTTTTTTGCATCACTCTCATTTCTCTTCCCAATTTTTCTTCCACCTCTCTTACTTGATTTTCAGAATCCTATTTGAGCTCTTCCATGAGACCAATTCATAT